GAAAATTATGCAATTGGAATTTCAAGTGAAATGAAAAATATATTTTGTTTCATCGTAGTACAAAAAAATATTCACTGACAAATTATTAAATTTTAATTAAGATGTTCCTCACCAATTCTGATAACAACATAGCATGATGTATAGATATAATTATAAAGGTTAGTTTAGTGCAATAAAATAGATTTCCAAAATTTTGATATTCCAGCATGTTTTGGCCAATCTCCGAAACAGGATTTGTGACAAGTGACTGGTTTGGCTTGTCTTGTTGCCACATATAGAGCAGTTAATTATCTGCTGCATGAAGAGGAAATTTAAATAATAAAGAGTTTACAAGATAAACACTGGAAATATTAAAAAGTACAGTATTTTATGTTTACAATTATTTTAAATTTGAAGTCAAATCTTGAAAACGATATTACAATTATATATTGATTCATATTTTTCATAAAGTCACAATAAGACAAATAAATTCAAACAGTTATGTTGGCAATAGAATTAACTATAAATAAAAACAGGAATAAATGGCTAAACTATATAAGTTAACATTGGTGTTGGTGACTAGATCTAAACATAAGCAAAGATATGCTTCAATAGGAGTAGTTAATATGCAAATTTGGTCACAATAGAATATTACGTCATCATAATTCTTAATTATTTATTCATAATTTTATTAATTTTTTTCCTCATTATGGGTTGAAACATATGAAGGGGGTCTTTGAGAGTTTATTGAAATATTAAAAAACAAAAGGTGGCATTAATTAAGTGATGATGTGTAGCGTGACGTGTTAAGTTTGTCATGTTTCCTTAAAATTTATAGTCCACTATTGTGTGTTCTTTAGAAATTGGTTACAATGAGAGTGAAAATTTAGACAAAAGGGAGATAAGTTTGCCAGTGCTGGATTTACAGTCACAAAAGAATCTTCTTGACCATTAAAATAATGAGGGTATTGAATTTCAAAACATAAGGGTGATTATTAAGTCAGGCTAGGGGATTATCGGACAATTTGGTGACTGTAAATTTGGTGACTAGTTTGAATTGCCCGGGTGAATGTAATTTGGTGACGTAGTGTGGAATGGATGATTTCTATTGGCTCATGTAAAGAGTGATTTTTATTGGTTCAGACGTATCAGTGACCGCTGGTGACTCTATGGTTTGAATTACCCGCTTCTAACTTCATGTAATGCCTTTATTCCTGTAGTGTATAAATTTAGAAGAAATTTAGGGTAAGAACACAAAATTTGTTTCAACTACATACAATTTAGTGTTTACTTTACGAATACCTATCCACGAAGATCGTGTTCAAAGTTGAAACATAATTTTGTTTTTAGAGGGAAAAACATGACGATGGAAACTGAACGAATTGCACGAGAAATAAATTCAGGGTTGGGGCATATAAACTAGGCAGTGGCATGGAATATATAGAGGATATGAACAGTAATTTTTTAAAATATTGCGAAAAGATGTATGAAATGCACAATGAATATCTTTATAAATTAACTAGAGAAGTTTTGCTTGATTCAAATGAGAATATCGAGACGTTTTTTAAAGACATTTTAACAGAAATGTTTAGCGATAATATCATAAACTGGGGCCGTATAATTATGGTTTTTGTGTTTGGAGCGAGGTTAGCTGTTTTATATAAAGATAAAAATAGAACCGATTTGATTGATCAAGTAATTCGGAATATAGACAAATACGTGAAGACGGAATTTTTGGAATGGATTAATATCCAAGGAGGTTGGGAAAGTCACTTTTTTTTGTATTTACAATCAATGATAAAAAAAACATTTAATTCGTGTCTATATACAGTATTATCATCAATCATTACTTAAAAAATTGAATTTGTTTCCAACTCTATAGGTCTATATGTACATTTTTTTTCAGAACAATTTCGATCAATCGTATACTCAACACAAAACGATAGCGGAAATTCCTCTAATGAACGTTTCGTCAGGGATAGCGTTAAGCCTAATAGCAACTTTGTATCTATACAACACATTCTGTTAAGGATGATATGTGTGAATTATGTGTATATCGACACACACTTATCCAGGATGTTTCTTTTGCCAGCCGTCAATTGGTGCATAAATTACCTACGGAACTTTACTGGTGAATTTTTCAATAAAGGTGAATCTGGTCCAGAGTCAGAAGAAAATGGCAATGGGAAAACTACACAGAAATATATTTCGATGTTCTTGTAGGACTAGAGCGAACCAGGTAATCTGGAATACTGGTATTTGTTTTCATGCAAAATTTGATCAAATCAAATAACCTTTTATTGCATATTAATACAATTTTAAAGCGACTTATTCTCAAATGTAATGATTATTCTATTAAATTGCAGA